TGCTACATTCCCAGCTTCCTGCCTCAGCCTCCCTAGTAGCTAGGATTACAGGTGTGTAGTAATACCACACCTAACTGAGAGCTTCCTTTTAAGGTAAATATTTATGTTGTATACATCTGTCCTTTTCTTATATATGGAAATGAAAAAAAATTCTAGAACACATATGTACTAAATTATTAAAATTTAAATATGAAAAATTCAAATTGTGGGCTGGGGCCATAGCTTAGTGGCAGAGTGCTTGCCTAGCACATGTGAGGCACTGGGTTTGACCCTTAGCATCACATAAAAATAAAAACAAAATTAAGGCATGTTTTCTACCTACAACTATAAAAAAAACTGTTAAATTCAAATTGCATTTAAAGTGTATATTATATGTGATATAATTTATTATCTGTAATATGAATCAAGGTAAGTTTTGCTGAGAAATACATCAGTATTAGGTTTAGCTCTTTGTTGAAATTCACTAAAAGCAACTTAGTCATTACAAAATCTGGCCCCTAAGAAACTAAGAAATAAAACTATGTTTTATAAAATGTATGTTAAAAAAAAGTCCACGCTAGAACTGTCTATGTAATGGTACATACAATTCAGAATAAGAAAGGCAATAAAAGTGGGTGAAACTGGATCTCAAAAGGAGATATAGAGCTAAATCACCTATTCTTTGTCAGAAAAGGAGTACAGTGTTATTTTCAAAGCAACTACGGAGTTCGGTGATGAGTGAATCAACAGCTTCACCTAGCTACAGCTCTCTGGAAAGTAAATGTATCTAAAAATAACTGATAGAAACTTTAAGGAAATGGTAAAATGTAGAATTTGCCCTGACATAGTCCAGATGAATGGCAGCTAAACTATATATTTTAATTTAATTATATTATATATTTTAATTACTGGATCAGGGGTCTCAACTTCCTTCGTTCACTAACAGATGGTTTATGAAAGTGACTACTTGTGTGCCTTCTGAGAAATTCAGTAAGGAGAAAATGCAATCAGAGTTTGTGATCTATTTAGGGAAAGACACTCAATGTAATCTGGTGGTTAACATGTGAGTTAATATATGTTAACAACTTAAAACAGTACTTTGTATAAACTAACCCTTCAATAAGCATTAATTGTTAAATAGCAGTAGCGAAATTCCATAGGACTGACCCTGTAGGTACAACATGAGCACTGATAAGGAAGAGATGTTTGTGGCCAGTGATAAGGGAAGGCTTTAAGTGAAGAGGAACTGATTTCTAGAATTGTAAGAGACAGAGAGGGAACTGCTTGAGCAAAGGAATAGAGGTGGGGAGAAGAAAGGCAGATGGGGATTCATTCAGTCCTACAGTAGGCATATATTTTTGTTCGATTTGCATAGTCTCTCTTTTTTGTTTTCTAAGAAATATATACTTTATTTAATTATTTTTAATTTATATGTTTAATTGATTGGTCACAATTGTGTACATTTATAGGAAACTGCAATATTTTGATATATGTATAAAATATGAAAGGATTAAGTCAAGCTAATATCTGGCACCTCACTTACCTATGATTTTTATAAGACATTTAAAATTTACTCTTAAGTTATTTAAAAATATACATAGTTACTGACTAGATACAGTCACCCTGCTGTGCAACAGACCTCAAAACATTGAACCCTTTGTATCCTTTGATGAACAACTCCACATCATCCCTAGCCTGTGGCAAACACCATTCCACTCAACTTCAAGGAAATCAACATTTCTACATTTCACATATAAATGAGATCACATTCTGTTTGTCAATCTGTGCCTGGCTTATTCCACTTAACATAATGTCCTGCAGATATATCTGTGTGGCAAATGACAGATTTCTTTCTTTTTAAAGGATACACTATTTATATGCTGCTTTTTCTTTATCCATTCATCCATTGATATGTGAAGGCTGATTCCACACATTGACTACTATGAATAATGCTACAGAGAATATGGGAGTACTGCATAATACCTCTTTAATAGAGGACTGCTAGTATGGTTGTCTATAAAAGATGTACATGTTGACCGGTATTAGGCGATGAGGTAAAAAAGAGTCTTATGAGTGCCCAAATCATTAAAGAAAGATCTTAAAATCTTAGCAGAGGAGGCTGTGTTTCAGAGTAGGCCATGGAAAGTGACTCTAGATTCTAGATTCTGGAGCTAAGGAACGGGATTAAGTTACTGTGCAGTGGTTACAAGTTAGCTCTTGAATGAGTTTCAGTGTTCTTATCTGCAAAATAGAGATTAAAATAGTGCCTATCTCATTCCATGTGCAAATGCAAGTCAAGTGTTGAGCATACTCCCTGCACATAGCAAGCATTCTCAATAAATGGTGGCGATCATTACCTACCTACGAGACTTGGTTCTAGGTCACAAGCCTAGGTGGGTACAGTGACAGACACAGGGAAATGGGGAAGAGTGAGCCACTCAAATTCTCCTAGAAGAATGTCCATGAGGACCCCTGGACTTCAATAAGACTTTGAGCTCAGTAGTAATTAATCTAAATATAAAGTCTAAAACCGAAAAGCTAGACAGGATTTCTAAGCATAAATATTTGGCAACCTAGAATGATTTCAATACAGAATCACCACACTAATGCATAATTGTGATAATGATATTTTTTCTTAAAATTACTCTTATTCTGACACCAGAACGAGAGTTTAAGAACTCTTAGATGAAATCAGAGATGACTTTCCTAAACACAGATACCATTTTGTAGGGAAAAACAAACTTCCAAAAGCAATAGAGTTTGCCAAAGACTGACAAATAGGTAAAAATCTTTACTATAGAGAAGATTCAATTATAGGCCTTGTCTGTGTTTAATGTGGCAATGGCCACCGATGTATATCCCTTGAAGTACATACAGTACCATATATCTGTGCCTCCCTGCTCTTGGAGTTCCAGAAGGGAAGATCCCAAATCACAGTTATCTTTGTATTGTCCACTACTGTTCAACAAGCAGGTTCTGTGGTATTTATTAAGCTGAGATGAATTTGTGAAATTCAGTTCTAAATGTAGGGCTGTGTGGGGATCTTAAGCTTCAATGTGGTTTAGGCTTATTTTCTACAAAATTATTTTCCCACCATCTGAGTTTCAAAATAAGAAAAACTTTCTATAGTCTATGGTGGACTTTTTAATCAATCAAAATCATCTCTTCACTGAGTATCTGACAACTGGGAATACGAAGATTTCAATACTTGGGAACCCTTGGGTACATTAAAATCGTCCTGCTTTGTGTAACTGGAGTTAAAGGCTGCCTTGGACAAGTCCTGGGCTAGGAGTTTCAAGGCCTGGATTCCAGCCTTTCTTCTGGAAAGTCTGGATCTAAAAGGGGGTTGGAGGGATAATGATAGAGACAGAGAGAGAGAGAGAGAGAGAGAGAGAGAGAGACCACAAAAAGAGTTCATGACACAACACTGTCCATACAAAAGTTCCAGAAAATTTTTTCCATCTACATTTTTTCATTCTAGCATCAATAAAATGCTCGTCACCTCTAACATCTATACCATGGTGAAAGGACTTTGCCTCTTCTTCAGATAAATAAAGTATACACAGAATGATGGAATGCAAAGTAAATAGATGTAACTTGACAGTTCGTATTTTCCCTTGTATAGGAAATATTATAAAGTTCGAATTTTATATTGAGTGAGTAAACAACATTTTTAGGGGGTTTCACTTGTAGAAATTTTCTCTTTATCATGCAGAATAGGAATGTCAGATTACACTTTGACAATCCTGGGAAGACAAAGGATAGGGCAGTCAAAGGAGGCTGAAACCCTGGACACAATATGACCAAAGCCTTGAAATGACACATCAAAGCTGTCAATGATGCTCTTCTTCTGAAACTTAAGCTTAAACTTCAGCTGGTACACATTTAGAATCTGCACTTATAGGCACAAGTCTTTATGTGGAATAAGGCTGTGATTTTTTTGAAAAAAAAAAAGACTCAATGATAAAATGATGGGGATTGAGTCTTCATTATTAATAAAAAGTTATCATCTTTTCATTCTAGCATCAATAAAACATTTTAGTACCCCAACAACTTGACATCATAAAATAAAATTGGGTGATATTGATTTAGATATTGATTTTACTCTCACTTAAAGTTATGGTGATATAATAAATAAGCAAATGCTGAAATATCATTTTCCTTTTAAAAATAAGAATGGGAAAAATGATCATTTAAAAACCACACTTCTTCATTTAAAAAGCTATTCAAAGGAATACAGGGAAGAAAAATTAGTTTCGTTACAGGAAATTAATCCTGTGATCCAAATATTTGAATTTTTAGTTTCTTAAGTCAGAGTTTATAGGTCAAATAATGTGCAAATCGTGCGATTGTGCACATACATGTTTTAAGAAGAGAGTCAAAATCCAAGTGTTTTTATTGCATATTCATTGTGCTTCCCCACCTCACCCTTTCATTCTCTGTACAAAAAAGTTTGGATTAAGTACTCAATCAAAGGCAGGTAGTTTCTGAGGGGAAAGATAAGACCTATCTCACGTTTCCCACAACCTTTCTTGATTCTTGAGGGGAGACAGCGAAGGAGATGGGGCAAAGACACCCACAAGCTCTGAATCACACAAACCACACATCATTGTGAAGGTAGTAGTCATTTGACATCCAATAACTAGAGACAACTGGATCTCCCCAGATGTCACTAAGAAGTGGGACAACTGAATTGAATGTTGGTGCAGTTTCTTGATATGCCTTGAGGATTTCAAAGTTTTCTCAGACATCCCTTAAGAAGTAAAAAACACCAATTATGCTTTCGGATCAAATATTTCACATCCCCACCGACTCAGAGCTCCATCGCCTATGTAAAAGACAGAGGGGGGAGGAGACCGAGAGATCCGGCGCCACGGAAAGAGTTCAGGACACAAGACTGTCCACATAAAAATTCCAGAAAATCTTTCCCATCCGCCCTCGTCCCCGGGCAGAGAGGTCTGGGGTTGGGGCAGCAGCGCGCGGTCTACCGCCTTGGATGTGTCCCACCGGAGACTACTTACTGGGCTGAACCAACTTTGCTCTCTCTYTTGGCGAGCACTTTCGCAGGCTTTGTGTCTTCCACATCTTGCTGTAGTTCAGTCATCAGGGCCGGGTCCACAGGACACCTTCAGACTCGGCGCGGCGTGTCGGCGCGGTTCCTTCCCGCAGGCTCCGGGGCGCAGGCCAGCGAGCCGTGCCGCGCCCTCCCCGCGCCCTCCGCCGCGCGGCGCAGCGCATCCAGGCCCCCGAGCTCCGGGGGCCGCCAACCTGGCCACGTTCGAGCCGGCGCGATTGGTCCCACCCACTGTGGGAGAGCCGGAGGGAGGGAAGGGGAGGGCCCAAGCCAAGTGACAGCCTCTTTCCCCAACCCCGGAGGCCGCCGAGGAGAAAAAGGAAACCTGTTGAACTAGTCTTTCTGGGAGACGAAGCTAATTGGCCAAGCAGGTGATACATTTGCCTAAGAAGGCACAATATATTTAGCCTCCTGGTAAATTGGGCTTTTTTTTTTTTTTTTTTTTTTCCTACCTCGACGTAACAGAGGAATTTTAAAGAACGGCAGCAGGCTCTGGATACAGGAAATGGATGCGACGGAATGGGACTTTCGCGCACACCAATGCACTGTGTGGGCTGGCCTATGCCCGGCCTAAATTATTCAGACAGGATGTTGCCTCATTGAGGACTGCCTCTTCGTGCTTAAACAATAGGTCCTCTCAATTTTTTATGTGGGAATAACTAAGGTGATAAGAAGTAGTTTGTCTTTAATGGTTGCCTGGTTAACCCTGTGGTAGGCGGGAAGCAATCATCAAAATCTCATTAGCATCTTATTAACCATGCACCCAGCCCATACAATAAATGCCTCTTCTTCCTRTCTTTGGTGGGGTTTTGACAGGCTGGTCCTTATCTGAGGTTTTGCATTTAAACAATCCCTTCGCTCAACAATTTCTTGAGGCTTGGTATTCCAAGCAGAGTTCTAAACATTGACATTATAACCAGTAACATTTTTTTTTTTTTGTTGGTGGTTTTCCAATTTGCTAGAGAGTAGTTGATAATAAGAATTACTAATATAAAACCTACTGTTGGAAATCTAACTTCAAAACAATTAAAAGTGGAAATAGTTGCAAACATCACCTGGGAAGAAGTTAAGAAATCTGTGTTCTCAGGTTGCACGTCCTTCGTCTTTCTTTTAAAATTAACTTTAGATTTAGGAATATTACAAGGAATTTTAGTATTCACATTTGTATGTGATGTGTGTGTGTGCCTGTGTAAGACACTCACATTTCCAAATAAGCTCAAACATTTTCGAGATGCAAGTCCCTTCCAAGGTTTTGTTACATTCTTTCCATCAACTAGCTTACATTGTTAGACTGGGAGAACAGAAGCATCTTTTTGTAGTCAACTTGCTCCAAAATTGGTTCTTGTGACACTTGAAAAACAAACGAATAGTTTGCACAAATTCCTTTAGAGTTGGCCTAGTCTGGTCTCTTCTTTCTAAAAAGGACCACCCCCCCCCCACACACACACACACACTGGGGAGCCATGCTGGGTAGGGAATGCTCTGGGTGACCTGGATGCTGGAGGCTGTCTCTTTGGTGTGCATTGTTTTGTCTTCCTGAGGCCTTTGCGCTCCTTCTCCAGTTCCCCACCCTATTCAGGGTGGGAGTGGTCTGGGAATTTAGAAGAGGTTATCAAACTCCCAACCTCTGGGTAGTGACTCTTCAAATCTCAGGTGCCTTCCAAGCACTACTGATCTCAGATCTGACTCTGATTTTTTCCCTCAAAGTAATTTTAAAAAATTGTAGTAAAATATGCCTAACATATTATTTATCATGTTAATCATTGGTAAGTATATGATTCAATGACACTAAATACATTTGCAATGTTGTGAAATCATCACCATTACCTATATTAAAAAAAATTTCATTCCCAGCATAAAATCTCATTAAGTGGTAATTTCCATTAAACTCATTAAGAAATAAATCTCTTTCAGCTCCCTCCTCCCAATCCCTAGTCATCTCTATTCTACTTTCTGTCTCTATGAAAGTGCCTCATATTAAATGGAATCATACAATAATTTCCCTTCTGTGTCTGATTTACTTCACTCAGCATATTTTCAGTGTCCCTCCTTAGGGCATGTCAAAATTTCACTCTACTGGTTGGCTGAATAGTATTTCATTATTACATGCATATAACATTTATCTCATTTTCTTTATCCATTCATCTGTTGATGGGCATTTGGGTTATTTCTACCTTTTGCCTATTGAGAACAATGCTGCTATGAACATTGGTGTACAAGTATCTGTCCAAGTCCCTGCTTTCTGTTCTTCTGGATACATATCTAGAAGTAGACTTCCTGGGACATGTGATATTCTATGCTTAACCTTTTGGAAAACTGCAGTCAGGCCTCTTTTGTTGCATGGGTAAGAGAAAGTGTTCAGAGTGGCTCTAGCACAGGCTTATAGCTCAATTAAAAAGCACACAGATACTTTGAAACTCATTCTTCAGTGTATGCGATGAGGACTTCCAATGGTGTGGTCTTAAGTGAGAAAGAACAGGAGAGGTTATGGGAGTGGAAGGAAGTTGGGTCTGAAGCAAATAAGTTACATTATTTTACTCAGTGACATTTGCTGACTTTTAAAAGACATTGCCAAACAGCTGCCTCCTTTGTTTATTCTTGTAGCTATTAAACCATAAAATGGAATACAGTATTTAAAAGGCAGCAGCAATCAAACAAGAGGGGAAATTTCAATGTGGTATAACAAAATAGAGACAGAGGATTATGCCTAAAATAAATTTTAGGAAGATCTTTTATTTTTACTTTTCTTCCTACAAGCCTCTGGGAATCTAAATTCTTGTTTATAATATTGAAGAAAAGTTGTAGCTGATCCTTTTTACAGTTGTTGAAACAGGTTTGGTAGAAGATACCTAACCTGTCACCTTTATGGAGATGGGAACTTCTGTTCAATCAGCTTAGAATATTGGAAAACATTGGTCTTTTTAAAAAACAGATCAGATATATTGTACATTCATTTGTAGTCTCAGGGTCAGAGTTCAAATAATGAGTTTGGAAATTTGAGTGAAGATTTGGTTATGATATATGGACAAATTATTACCTAATTTATAATACATGGCAGAGGTATATATTTATTAGCCAATATAAGTATGTGTAAATTATCTTCACATGCTTGTAATTTTATGCAGATTGTCTGATGGCGTTTTCCATTGTTGAAAGATGTTGACGACTTTATTAAGATGAAACCTGGATACTCTGTAATAATTTAACTATGCATACTATTTCATAATCAAAGAACTTCAGAAACATTTATCAGATCATTCCTATTTTCAATTAAGGTCAATTATCCAAAAGAGATAATGGGGAAAAGTGAGAATAAAGAAGAGAGCTATACAGTGACATTGGAGAACTGAATTCTTTTTAAAAAAAGTTATAAGAATGAAGATTGAGAAGCATTACCTGAAGGGATACTATTGTTGAATGTTTTATATTAAATACAAAGAAAAGCTTCCTAATGAATACAAGCATTGGACATTGGAATGGGAATATATAACAAGCTGTGGAATCTTCTACAGTGAAGGCCTTTGACAATAAAAGTTTTCAAAAATTGAAAGAGTGCCAGACATGGTGGCCCACAACTGTAATCCCAGTAGCTCAGGAGGCTATGGCAGGAAAGTTGTGGGTTTGAAGCCAATCTCAGCAACTTAGTGAGGCCCTAAGTAACTTAGCAAGACCCTGTCTCTAAATAAAAATATAAATAAGGGCTGGGAATGTGACTCTGTGGTTAAGCACTGCTGGGTTCAATCTCCGGTATTAAAAAATAAATAAATCAAAAGAGTGATTTTAACCTACTACTTCCCAAGCCAAGTTATATATATTGGGAAATTTGAAATACTATTTCTCTCCCTAGAGATGAAGCAAGAACTAAGCTTAGCACCTGTGTTGAGAAGAACAGGCAGATGGGAMGTGTTCACTGGTCTAGGAAACACTAGAATAAATCTGGTTAATTGAGAGAGCAGTAGCCATACAAAGCCATACGAAGACTCTTCCTGGTCAGTGTTCTTTAAAAATTAAAATAAATAAAATAAATTAAATAAATATACGTTAAAATCTACCTCAGAGTCCTAGAATGTCTATGTTCTATGCGGTAAATGCTTCAGATCAGAACCCGTGAAGTAGGAAGGTGTCTGACACCATCCAGTTCAGTAGTTTTCACACCAGGTTCCCAGGGAATCCAGGCTCTTAGGACCARTGTGGGGAGGAGCTGGCACTTCTGGTTCTGGTGCCCTCTTCTCACCACCACTCCAGTATAGTCTGTCCCACTTCAGTTAGAATTCTTTCGCTCCCATCTGTTTCATATATTTGTGTCTTAATTTCTACTTGGGGAAAGAAGTAAGGGTTGCCCAGTACACACTAAGTAAAATTTAAAAATCAAATCCCCATCAATTTTTAGAGAAGAACCCACGCTTCAGGGAGTCTAGGGATTTGCTAAAATTACAGTAGTCCCAACTGTATGGAGACCCAGTTTCTTGACCTCCAGTGGAGGTTCACAGGTTTTTATTAGACTAAAAAGAACAAGACACTTTTTTTTTTTTTTTAATGGCAGAAATACATGCTTTGTGGGAGAGTGTGTTGGGCGAAACCTCAATCCAGGTCTTCAGACATGAATACAATGTTTGCAGAAAAAGAAATGTTTGGATCTTGGACCATTTTTGGTGGTGGTATTTTGCAGTTTTCTGTTACTGAATAAACTAAACACCTGAAGATTCGGTGGCTTAAAACAATAACTTCTTATTACTTCTCATTGTTCTGTGAGTTGACTGAACTCAGCCAGATGGTTRTCACTGTGGTCTTTCCTGCAGGTGCAGTCAGAAAGAGCCCAGGGTTGGAGTTATTTGAAGACAGCTGAGCTATGTGCAAGATGGTGTTTTCTTTCCTCGGTCTGGTGCTTTAGGTAGGATGGCTGGAAGTGCCAAGTGTTTCAGTCTATCCATGGGGCATTCCACAGGACGGACTCTGGCTTCCTTTTGTCTGGTGGCCTCTGTGTGGTTGGATATTTGTACTTGTGGGAGGCCTCGTCCCACAAGGAATCTACAAGGCCTTGTGTGAGGTGGAATCTACAAGGCCTTGTGTGAGGTAGCATTGGTGGTCATGCGGCTTCACCTGTGCTGCATTGTATTGATCAAAGGTGAGCCACCGGGCCAGCCCAGATTCAAGGTGCCAGAACTGCATAGGATGTGAATACCAGGAGAAGTACTTCACTGGCAGCCATCTTTGRAAACCAGTTGCTGCAGTGGAACTGGTTTATAATAACTGGTTTATAATAGAGTAGGCTTCTGACTATAGACTTTGTCATTGGCCCTTTGGGTAAGTGAACTTTTCTAATAGCACAGTTCTAAATGCATGGGATATTGGGGCAAACAAACAAACAAACAAAAAAAGCAAAATCCATGTTGTTGGGTTTCTACATCTTAGTGGGACAAACCAAAAATTTGGAAAGTACAGTCAGCCCCCTTATTGGCAGGTTCTGCATCCTCAGATTCTACCAAGTAAGTACAGAT